ATTGCTTCTCAAATTGATCTGAAAGATCCACATTCCTATAAAACACCTAGATATTAAATACTTAGAGCTGAAATAAACATGTAAAAAATATATACATTTTTAAATGTTTTATTTAAAAAAATTATAAAAGATTTTTTTTATAATCAGTATGTATTCATACATACTGAATACTCAACAGCTCTGAAGGGACCACCATTTCTGTTAAAAGTGGATTTCAATCCACACATTCATCTATCACAGTAGAGGCCTAGTCTAAGTAAACTTCTTCACCTTGAACATCCCATAAAGCAGCACTGAGTATTAACACAGGTCAACTTCACCGGTAACACACTGAACAGAGCAGCCAGAGTCAGGTTTTCATTTTTTATTAGAAAAGACTGCAACAGTTACTGTGACCCTTCAGTTTCTCAGCAGGACCACATCTATCATCCATCATGGCCTGGCTCAGAGAAGCAGCATCGCCTCTGGCTGGGAACAGACACAGCTGGATCCATGTTTTCTCATCCTCACTGCCTTATCCACACAGTGGGAGATCTGACTGCACTGCCTGCTTCCAGCATCCAGTCACCTTATTGCGGTTCATAGCGTTACCTATACAGCCTTCTCATCTACTCACAACCAATGAGAGAGGAGATCCTCACACAGACCGTCCCATTATCCAGAATGGCCGGCTGATCACTGATAGATGGGAACATTCAAAGAGCAAAAAGTGAACTGAAGGTTTGAGATTCTGTCAGCTGTGCTGAGGACAGGTGGGAGCAATGCCTGAGTTCAGCACATAATTCTCTGATGACCAGCAGATGCTAAACGCTGGGTGGAGTTAGGCCTGTGATCAGAGAGGAGGCTGAAGAGATCAGCCTCAGAGGAGGCTCAATAATCTAATGTCAATTAAGGGCTTTGTAAAAATAACAGAACATTGTACAAACAGTTAAATTACAAACATATAGGGTGTTGCTGGGCATAGAGCATATATTGACATGAATCTATTTTACTGCAAAAACACAGTAGAATATTCTTTCACATGGAGGAATAACTCAGGTGAACCACCTGAGCACAAAGTCCTTTGTTGTCATGGAGACAGCAAGTTTACTGCTGGCCCTCTTTTTTCTCCCCCTCTGAGCCGCTGCTGCTCCCACTGCTGCTGCCGTCCCGCTCTGCTGCCATCTGCAAACACCAACATGGAGTCAACCCTCTGCTCATCAGGCAAACACTGAGGCCAGACTCGCTGTGAACGACCTTCCTACCTTCTTGTAGGCCATTTCAAAGAGTTTCAGAGACGCCTGCTGCAGGTTGTTTGCTGCCTGTTTGATGTTCTCTCCAGTCTCTGTGTCCTTATTGGCCAGGAGGTCCTGAACTTTCGTGATCTCCTCCTTCAGCTTGGTGCACTGATGACACACAGCAGAGTCATCAGTGAGGAAAACAGCCTTAGAATACACAAGTCCTGGTTCAAAGAGGAAGTGATAAATGCTCACTTCCTGTTCTTTTCAGAGGATTTGATTGGTTAAACTTAACGCTTCATCAGAGAGCTCAGGCTCCTTTTACAACCCTGTTGAGACTGAATGCTGGTGTTTAGCCAGCATTCAGCTATTTCTATTTTTAAGAGGACAGAAATAGTTTATCTTAACATTATGTAAGGTTTCATAAACGCAAATTCAATAGTTTTTAAGACAACTAATAATAGCTTTAAAAATTCTATTCTTCTATCAAGATACGTTTTCAACCATATCATCCAGCCCTGCTTGCACGAATGTGTCAAGAGTGAATTATAGGTAATCTGAACAATAGACTTAATAAATGTATTTAATCATGTCTTTGGACTCAATCACAGTGCAAAATTCCAGGCTTTTTCCCATTAGAATCTCTAAGCAAACCCACATGACATAAAGACACATTTCCCAGACTACAGAAAATGTTGCGGCTGTACCTCATCAGCAGGAAGCTGATCTTTAAACTCCTCCATTTTGGATTCTGTGTCATGGATGATGCCCTCAGCTGTATTCACGGCCTCCACTCGTTCCTGCAGCAACATCACAGTTACCAGTGAGATGAAGAGAAAGCAGTCTGTACACCTGGAGAAAATGTTGACGTCTAGACAGCCTCACCTTCCTCCTCCTGTCCTCCTCGGCGTACCGCTCAGCGTTCTTGATCATGTTCTCGATGTCGTCCTTACTGAGACCTCCTGATGACTGGATCACAACTGAAGGAACAAGTCAGAGGTCAGGATCCTCACCAAGCAGCACGAGGATTAAAACCTTCCAACTTCAGCACAGCAGGGTTTCCCCCAGAAAACTTGCTCAGCCCGGTAGTCGGAGCGCCAAGGTGGTTCACCGTGTTTTTGTATTAAAAGATGTTAAGTAGACAGGAAATGTAAAAATATTACTGGGTAATTATATGTTACTGAAAATATCACCAATGAAATGCTATCTAAACCCACAACTAGTCTTAAAAACGCTTCGAAAAATACAACTAAATGAATATCAATTATTTGCACTTCTGTTTAATCCAAATTAAGTCAGCAGCTCCATAAGGCTCCAGGGGCCCCATAAATGCTAATATTTTAACATAGACCACAGGTGTATAAATGTAACATTTGTTTACTGAGATTGATCAATGCTGCTAAATTTGATTCAATGGTTTCAGCATACATAAATTAAAAGATTTTAAATTGTTTAACATTTATTTTAGAGATGTGCTGATCAGGTTTTTTCCTGCCGATTCTGATCACCCATGAGGGCCGATCACGGCCGATCACCGATACCGATCACAATTATTATTTTTTTAATCATAAGCACTTCAACAGCGAGAACAGAACCAGCGTTTTACATTGCAGCTCAAAGGCTTAAATAATTTTGCGGCTTATTTGTTTAGCTTTCTGACCGTCATGCTAATCCGGGTGAGTGTTTGTAGCTATGCGCTGCTTTACCGCTTTACCTGCTATCGGATCGCTCCATGTCTTTTTTTACTGCAGTGAGCCTCGATATAGCCAAACTCCGTCAAATATGGCATTGTTGTTATGCCATATTAGGATTCGTCGTGTTGATGCATTTTGACGTGCTTCACCCCACGTGCTTCAATTTTCCTCCGCAACACGCAAACTTCCCCATTCACTCAGTGCGTTATAGTTCCACACGACATCGCTTAGGATTTGTTGCTACTCGTTTGCGCAGAGTGAAGGAAAGAGGAGACCAGCTGCACAGGCAGGCTGCGAAATGAGAAGTAGGTGATCGGTATCGGCAACAAGAGCCAATGATCACCGATCACCGATCATGCACTTTTTCACGAAAATCGGCCCGATTATGATCGGTGACCGATCGATCGGCACACCTAGTTTTTATGCTATATTAGATTTGTCATGTTGATGCATTTTGACCTGCTTCACCCCACGTGCTTCAATTTTCCGCCGCAACATGCAAACTTCTCCATTCACTCAGTGCGTTATAGTTCCACATCGCTTTGTATTTGTTGCTGCGCGTTTGCGCAGTGTGAAGGAAAGAGGAGACCAGCTGCACATGCAGGTTGCGAAATGAGATGCAGGTGATCGGTTTGTGTGATCGGTATCAAGAGACCGTGATCGGCAATCACCGATCATACACTTTTTCACGGAAACTGGCCAATTATGATCGGTGGCCGATCGAACGGCACACCTCTAATTTATATACGAGATTTTAAGGAGCTGGCAAGTTTACTTTGTAAAAGTTAAAAGAAAAATATTCATAGTTAGATTGTTTTGTTAACATAGCTACAATCTGATGCTGTGAGTTTAATCTTTGAGTTTGAGTTCTGTTTGCCCACAAATACAAACTAGTAAACTGCAATTATAACTGGTTGCTTTCTATGTTGGTCAATTAAACTACTCCCCTTCTTCCAGATTTCACCAAATCTAACACAGAAGCTGTTAGAGGTGCTGATGATTTTAGCAACAAAAGGGGCTCTTAAGTCAAATTCTGCTCAGGGTCTCATACAGCCTTGGACCGGTCCTGCATGATGACGTAAACCCGTCTCAGTACGCAGAGATGCGGAACAAACGGGAGATTTAATTCAATGCTGTTAATGTGGCTTTAGTAGTTCTTACATTTCTGTCTGTTGAGTTGTTAACAAGGGGACACAGAAACTATTTTGGTTGGTCGAGTTTATGGGACAAGTTTCTCAGATCTCTGCGCAGCCGCACACATCAACTCTGGCTGACTAAGTGGACAAAGCATTTGATATGGTTTGACGCATCATGTAACCGGAACAATAATAATAAAATAATATAAAACCAGTGTGATTCGGGACTGCAAGGTAAGAGCAAAAGCTCCTCACCGGGCTGAACCTGCATGATGACGTTAGTGCTGGTTCATTAACCACTAAATCTCTGGCCAACCGGGAACATAGACATAAACTTCATCAGCGTAGACAGAGCAGGGCGCTGGGCAGCGTGTTGAGATGGAAAAACCGCACAAGAGTCTTTGTCCACAAATATAAATCATTCTCACCACTCCTCAATGCACCTTTGAACGCGCAACCACAAGTTATTCCTGCGGTTCACGTAGAGCTGCGCAACCAGAGCTAACGCAGTGGGGTTTAAACTCCTACCTTGATCAAAAACTCTAGAAAGAAACATAAGTCCTCAAAGGGGGTTGATGTAAATATCCATACATGTCAGCCTTTGTCCAGTTTGAGTAAAAGGAGGTGCGCGAGATCCGCGCCGAGGTAAACTTACGACTGCTGTAGCGTGTGAGGCAATGGACAGAGGTGCCAGCGGTGTGATTGGTCGGGCTTTAAAGGCATATATTAATAAACCTATCTTCTATAAATATATTTTTAGGAATAAATCTGCTCCACCAGTGAAACGCTCAGAGCAACAGAGACGCTTGTAATCCAGCTTTAAAAAAAAGATCTTTAAGTAATTTTTTTATTATCATTTTCCTAAAAGCATAAACAAGAAAGGCTTAGCCTGGCGGTGGCGCTAATAAAGCATGGCGGGCCACCAGGCCTATAATTCACTGGGGGAAACCCTGCACAGGAAACTCAAGTTTGAATTCAGATCCTCAGTCAAAACTGAGTAGAACCGCCTGCATTTACAGTAGCAGATCAGCTGGCGTACGCCTATCAGCTTTGTACCTGTTCAGCATCAACAGTCTCCGCTCATTTTCTTTCCAATTCTTTCTTTAAAGAGATTTATGTCTGAACTTTGACTGGGCCATTCTTTGATGTTCCCAGTAAGCTGCATTAAAGCCAAGTGGCTCTATAGACTCCTCTAGTCAGGCCGTACTCACTCTGCTGCTCGCGGCCCGTGCCTTTATCCTTGGCTGACACATGGACGATGCCGTTGGCGTCGATGTCGAAGGTGACTTCGATCTGAGGGACTCCGCGGGGGGCTGGGGGGATCCCCACCAAGGTGAACTGACCCAGCACCTTGTTGTCTGCTGCCATCTCTCTCTCCCCCTGACACACTTTGATCTCTACCTGAGTCTGGCCATCAGCTGCTGTGGAGAACACCTTCAGAGGACGCAGACAGGACAGAGATACTGCAGTGGGTTCTGTGGTGAACCGGGCCGGGCCAGTGGTGCTGCTGCTCCACCTACCTGGCTCTTCTTGGTGGGGATGGTGGTGTTCCTGTTGATGAGCTTGGTGAAGACGCCTCCCAGGGTCTCGATGCCCAGTGACAATGGAGTCACGTCCAGGAGGAGCACGTCAGTGACGTCACCGGCTAGAACTCCACCCTGAATGGCTGCTCCTATGGCGACGGCCTCGTCAGGGTTGACCGATTTGCTCGGGGCTCGACCAAATAGGTCCTGAACGGTCTGCTGGACCTGCACACACAGAAAGGCACAGGGTTACTGACAGCTTTATTGTGTTACATTTCTGATGCATCACACTGTGTAACACCCCTCCTGGCCAGCAGGTGTCACAATTCTATCAAT